AAAACGTAAAACATAAAAGCCCAATCGACTAAATCTTGTCTAAATAAAAGTGTCTTCAGCTGCTTTTTAAAAGAATCAACAGATTGGACCACACACAAACTCATTTGTTCCAGATTTTCAAAGTGTGTTTTGGGGACCATCAGGAGGTTTTGACCCGAGGACCAGTCCGGAGAGTGCGAGAGGAGGAGTACGGGGTCAACAGGTCTGTGATGCCCATGCAGTCAAAACTCAAATTTCACAATTAATTCTGACTGGAAGCCAATGGAGTGTGGATGAAACTGGTGTAATGTGTGTCCTTCTGTTGGTTTCAGTTAAAAGCCTGGCGGCAGCGTTTTGTCCCATTTGGAGACGACTCAGAGAAGATCTGTTAAAACAAGTAAAAAGACAATTACTATCTAAACGAGAAGAAATAAAGGCATGAATAATCATCTCCGTGTCAGCTTTAATGCTCTCAATTTAGAAATATTTCTTAAACGATAGAAACAGTTTCTGACCGAACTGTTTGATTTGAGGTAGTTTTTGATCTTGAGCAATGATTAAGGTTTCAGCCTTTTTTGTATTCATTTGTAAGTAGTTAATGTTGTTTAACCAGTTTCTTAATTCCAGACTTAATTAATTCTGACTGTTTGAATGAACAGTAGTACTGAATGTCATCAGGATAAAAGTTATAAGACACACTTTTAAAATGACAAATTATTTCACTAAGAGGGCTATTAAACAATAAAAACGAAATAGGACCTAAAACCGAGCCCTGGGGAACTCCACATGACAGAGGAGACATTTCAGACACAATATTACTGTTTTTACTGTAGTTTTGATGAAGTTTTGATATATATTAAAGGTGCCTTGTGTAATGCCTGCCAAAAAATCAATTCATACTCCAAACCAGATGGGGGCAGTATACCTCCAGAAAGTGAGTTGGTCTACTCTAGAGTAACAAACGAGAAACGGCAAAGTCTCTATGCTCCACCCCTACCTTCACAACAACCCTAGAGCCATAGCCGAAGCCGAGCCAACTCCTAATAGAAGACATTTTGACTCCAGAGGAACGTTAAATGGTAAATGGACCATTTACCTACCAGTGATTATGTTCATATTTAATTTGTTCATATTACATTTTTATTATTAGTTTGAATTACATTAATTTGACAGACGTTGCTGATGTTGACCAAGCTAGCGCCATTCAGAGCTGCCAACTCTCACGAATTCACCGCGAGAGACACCAAAGTTCTTTTAGGCAAGTCCTGCCACTCGGGCGCCATCTTGGCAACGCCTCCGGGCAGCTATTTCGGACTAACAAGACCAGGCTCCTATCTAAATGAATGGGCAGAGAGTCAGAACTGCACTTTCACTGGTCACCGGGACATAAAAACTGCATGTATAGAAACAGCAGTAAAATATGATTTTAAAAAAATCGCTGAAAAACTTTGATGCCTTTGCTCCAAAACAAGGTTTAAAATGCCTTTTTCCCCACAGGTTATACTTTTACTAAGCATGCACAAGGATTCTCGTCTCCGCTGTCGCAGACCTCAACTGTGCACATGCGTCAGTGGAACCAGACGATAGGCTTAAATGTTTCCCGGCTTGACTGTTAAAAGCAGACGATTGGCTTCCCAGCTGGGAGTACAACCGCCATCTTTGGTGTTACAGGTTTTCCCTTTATAGTTGTATTGAGGATTTAGGAAGTGGCATGTCTCTATATTAATTGTGTCTGGAGACACGCAATTGACACTTTTCACACGCTCTCACGCCACACATCAATTTTGTCACGCACAGAAAAATTGCAAATCAAAGAGGACACGGAGACCGACAGACTAGACAGAGCAGGTTAGTTATGATATAGGCCTAAAACAATCTCAGCTCTCAGATTCTGTCAATTTTAGTACGCAATTCAAACAACAAAAACCATTTTGGCACTTGTAAATGTTGCACGACAGATCCTTAACGCAAATGAACCGATCAATCATCTCTACTAGCTAATGGTAAAAGAACACAAACACTGTTGAAAGATACAGTACGCTACAACTTACCAAAATGTATTCCTCATGCATAATATCAACCAATCATTTTTTTAAAACTCTTCCTTGAACTGAAATGTAGTAGTGGGCTGTACTTTCCACACGATTGACATTAGGTTCAAGTACACCCACCCACAAGTCGTGCAAGTTATTCGTGTATTGCAGTTTGGCTGGTGGTTATGTTTCCCGCATACCGCCCCCCCATGGCCGAAACTATTATGACACCTGTCGGGCCACGGTAATTTAATTCAGGTTGATATCTCTGCAGCACTATAACTTGTCATTTTTTTAGACATCATCGCCCTTATTTCTTCTCATTTCTTCTCTGTAGCTTATTTTTTATATATATTTTTACCTGTTTATTTTTATCTTTTAATTTTAAATTACTACAAATGGTATAGTACCCTCTAAAAGGGTTTCTTGTTTAAAATGGCTATTTAAACATTAAAATTACAAATATTGATTTTTGATATATTCTCTGTGCTTGAATCTTGCTCTCCCAGGTTGTTTGGTAAGTTCAATGATCAGACGTTGCTTTTCTCTTCATTTATTTTAACTGAATTATCTGTCACAGCGTCCCTTGCTTTCCTTTGCAATAAATAGACCCAAATGACCCAGTGTGAGTCATAGGAAACTGGCTTTCAAGGACAAAACTGTTTTTTTTTTCTTTCCTTGTGTAATTCTCCTTTAAAAGCACTCTACACACACACATATATGTATACTGCATTAATTCGGTGTAATACATCTGGTATTTTACCCACTTAGTGGGTCAAACTTAATTGTGGCACGCAATGCTCTTAAACTCCCTTTTGCCATTTCGGATTTAGATAAAATTCTGCAAAATACTTTCAGAGATTTATCTGAACGGTGTGTCCAAGTCTTCATGGCTCTTATATGTACTTCATAGACTTACACTGGACTCAGCTACCGTGAAGTCCACGGCTGTGCCCCAAATCCCACCCTATACTCTTAAATATATGGCTCTATTTGAGGGAACAGCCTTTAGTAGTGTTTGATACCATAATGGACATTATCAAGTGCACTCATTAAATGAAAAACGGGGCAAATTCCAAACAGTAGGCTATTTCTGCTCCGGAGGGCTCTTCGGGAAGGGGACGCCATTTGTAGGGGTTTTCCAAACGAAAGTGAACAACTGGATCCCTTCACGAAAGGCCCTTCCACAAGGTATACATGCGATGGTCACTTAAAGGAAGAAATTTGATGATTTATGGTCATGTGACCCAGTGAATATAGGCCACCTGTGATTCATTTTAAAGCTAGATGGCGGGAGAGTTGCTAATTTACAAACCGAGCAATTCAATTTGTTTTGTTTTGTCCGTTATATTTTACTTTTTTTTTTGTCATGTTATGAATAGATAAGTTGAAATTCGTAAAATAATGCGGGTCCAAAGATGAGACGGCAAGTTTTAAAGTTGAGAGCAGAGAAATAACCTACACTCTCACACACGCATAAAGCATATTTTAAGAACTTATTAATGTATATAAATGTTTATTTATTTGCAACAGTTATGTTAACAGCAATAATAAGACATTTATGTTGTGATATATCCTACAGCTGATGGACACCGTGCGATGTCATGGGATGATGAGAACATTAGGTGAAGATGAGGAAATGACGTTGTCTTTCGTTGTTCCCTTCACAGAGTGCGTTTCAAACGGCTTCATAGGCTACTCTAATGGCACAAACACACACGTGCCGTGCTCACTCCAAAGTCTCCACTTCAGGGGCTCTACTCTGCCCTACGAATGGAGTAGGGCATGTGGATGCCCACTTGCGTCTGGAACTTGCTCTCAACGGCTAGAGATTTCCCACAATGGTCTGTGAGAGTCGCGCTCGCGCACTGAATGAATTCCCGCGTCAGACCATAAGATGGCGCCGCAGCCGAACCATCCATTTACATTCCTTTTTTAAAATGATTATTATACTGTTTGATTAGGTTTGTAGATAGTTTCAATGACAGAGTTAAGGATAAATATTTTCAACTCACTATTGCTGCAAGTTTCACAAAAATACAAAAATCCGGCACTCAAGTGTCCGAATTCGCTCACTCGTTTTCACTCACTCCTTCAAGTGGACTATAAGTGGAGTAATGTAGTAGGCAATATAGGGGGGCGATTTCGACACAGCCCATGAGGCGCAGGGTGTCCCATTTGCTCATTCTGTGTTTCTAGAAGAAATATCCAAACATCCTCAAAACAAGATGCATTTAATGGGCTATGCACGGCGGTATTTCCGGTAAAGGTGTAAGGATGCTCGATAACTTCCGCCGATCGTAGAATCCAATGCAATACCAAGAATTTATATTGAATTTTATACTCCAACTAACTAAAGAAACGTTAGTCACAAAAACGGATAAAACAGACACCCCTCGTTGTGTTTGTGCTTCTTTTTAAAATTATATTAAATAAACATATATAAAATTACATCTAAACGTATGTACGTTTCGTTTCAAAGACGGGAGGACAGTAAATTTTGAAGATTCTGCCATAATCCCGTTTTCCTCGGTTTTCCTCCGCTTTAATCTCAACAACCGGAAATGGACGAGCATCCTTGCGTCAAATGCGGAACTTATACGTGCATATAGCCCATTAGACCGACAGCATTTACGGCAATATTTTCAGAGAATATGTTGAATTAGCGCAAGTAAGCTAAATTGGCACTTAAAACTAGAGAAAAAACTTTCTTAATTGTTATCTGAAAACTCTTCAGATAACATTTTGTTATTTTGTCTTCTTTTTTACATGAAGAAGACAAATGAAGTTGACAAAAATACTGATTTAAACTTTTTGAAGGGCAAGGATTTCTGTGCGGATTATTTATAGGCTATATATATATTTGTGTATGTGTATATATATTTACAAACCTTTGTGTTAGATGTGGTTAATCACCATTAATTGATTTGACATTCAGACCCATTTAAGTAACATAATCTGTTATTGAAAAGTAACATTTAAAACCTTTTTTGCATTTGTGCATTTGTTTTAATGATTTTTAAAACATTTACAACTATTAAAGACAAAATAGTTACAAACAGAATTGACCTGCAGTTTGCATTCATTTCAAAATGTTACATAAATAAAACTCATATTTATAAATATCTCTTTTATAAACATATAAATAGGTTTTTAAACATAAATACATTTATGCGAGAATGAAATACATGAATGTACAGCAGCAGCAGCAACAATATACAGCTTTTATCCACATCATGTTGTTGTTGTTGTTTTGTACATATGTTTTATCTAATTACTTAATTTCAGTTGTACGTGTCATTGTCCCCACACATGGTTCTCGTAGTGGCTTCGTACCATTAGTCCGATTCTTTAAGGTTTCCCATGGAAGAAGAGCAACCAAGTCCATTCTATCCATAATCCATGACGTTCGTGATGCGCTCTGGGAAAAAAAGACGGCATACGGTTAGACGGATTCGGTCCGACATCTGTGACGTCACCGCAGCGTCACACACACGGGTGTGTGAGACTGACGTCAGATTCTTTGACAACAGTCCTGCATCACAGAGTCAGATATCCTTCGCATCAGTTTGACACATGACTCATTTAAACTAAACCTTGCTGCTCCTCTGTTAGTTATCTACACACACACACATTACAGTTTGACACACTTATAAAGCTCGCTGTAATAATATAGCACCTGTAAAAACATCATAAAGCCTTCGGCATCATGAAACTCAGTAATTGTCAGTCATTCATTTATATGACAGATGATAAATATAGGCATAAAAAAGAGGATATGCATCAAATGCAATGCCAAAATCAGAGAGATGCGTTTGTTTTGCTTCATCAATTTGTTTAATTTGTTTAATTCCATGAAATTCCCAAGGAGTGTATATGCAAATATATATTTTATATTAAATATTATATAAATATAACATTCATTAACAATCATTAAAAGTATATTCATTTATTTAACTGTTAAAATGCATATGTGATTTCCAAAGATTACATCTGCTAATGTTTTAGACTCTACAGAAATAAAAATATTAAAAAAATGAATAAATAGACAACTAATTATATATATATAAATGATTTCATGTAATAAATTATTTCAATTTTAAAACATGTCATTTGAAAAAAAAAATCCCCATACAAATAACTAATATTTAGATTTACAGATTTATTTATGAAATAATAATTTAATAAATGTTTTTTATTTTTAATTATTTTTCATAAATTAAATTATTATGGTTTATATTAAATTATTATGGACACACAATATATATATATATATATATATATATATCACTCCAAAATAAAAGTTTGTGTTTACATAATATGTGTGTGTAGTGTGTATAATTATTTTGTATATATAAATACACACATGCATGTATATATTTAAGAAATATTTGCATGTATATACTTTAAATATATTTATACAAAATTAACATTATACATAAATATAAATATCTTATATATTAATAGCACATTTTCTTAAATATATACATGCATATTTGTGTATTTATATATATGAAATTATTATACACACTACACACACATATATTATGTAAACACAAACTTTTATTTTGGATGTGATTAATCGCGATTAATCGTTTTACAGCCCTAATATATACATAATATAATACATTATATATATATATATATATATATATATATATATATATATATATCCTTTGATATCATATATAATTTGTATCAGTATTTGCATGAAATATTGATTCAAAGTGTAGCGGTAATCATAAATTGAAATGATATTTTCAAAGCGAGTATATCTACATTGTAAAAAATATTGATGGTTTAACTTAAAAAAGTAAGTAACCGGGTTGCCTTAATATTTTAAGTTGATTGAACTGGAAAAAGTGAGATAATACAATGAAGGAGATTAATTTAATCATCAGAAACTCGAAATTATATGTTATCTGAACTAAATAAATTATTTAAGTTGATTTGACAAAAGAAAATGATAACAAATGTTGAAAATATTTTTTACAGTGCACAAATACTCTATAATAACTATTTCCATTAGTACTAATATTGATGGAACACACATCTGTATGTTCTCCCAGTAGCGGCTCTCTCAGACACTCACCAGGAGAGGTTATTGACGGAGGGGTTAGACGGCTGGCAGCCCATCCCGCTCATGATCCCTATCCTGTCCATCTTGAGTCCGAAGCATCCGCTCCTGGCCGTGGCCCCGCCCTTCTTAGACCCGGCTCTGAGTCTGCGGGAGCCGGGCTGCTCGTTCAGCATGCGGGCCCAGGGGCCCCGGGCCCTCGTGTCCATGCGCAGGTCCCTCAGGAGCCGAGCCCGGCTCTCCAGCCGCCTCTGGCTCTCGTCCGATGCCAGGAACTCGGACAGCTCCTCTCCCAGCAACATCCGCAGGGACTGGGGGACACAGGACGCTCAGATAAACACCTCCGTACTCACGCTCGTCCTCACATCACACTATTAATCAATGTCAATGTCAAACTGTTCACTTACAGAGACCCTTAAAATGTGCTTTTATTCACACGATTTTTCATTTAAGTTCCTTTAAATTCATACACAAATATCCAATATGATTTATTAATATCATTACAGAAGTTTTAAAGTGGAGCATCTTCAGTAACACAAGCACTGTCTGGACTAACAGGTTACTCGGAGAAGGTCCAAAATATTTTATATTACAATGTATTTATTATGGCTTCTATGCGGTTATTTCAGAATTTAGGAGATTTCTAAGTACTGCAAGTAAAACATTCTTTAAAAATAAAGCTTATTTGCATATTTGGTTCTATAAAGAATCTTTAACATCCATGGAATCTTTCCATTCCACAAAAGGTTCTTTCGATTATTTAAACCTTCACACTAAAGAAAAAAGGGCTTATTTTAAGAAGGCTTCACTGAAAGGCTCTTTATGGAAGTTCTTCAAACGCGTCAAAGGAAAACACACACTTTTGGAAGCTTTATTTGATGATTTTGATTAAATGTTTGAGTCGAAATTAAAATCTCAATCAGTTTTGTTATCTCTTCTTGGCACATTCTTCCCACACTTTTTTCAGAAACGAGAACATTCTGAAAAGTGTGAGAGTTAAAAGTTGAAATTCGCTCTGAATTTAACACAAGTCTGTATGTGAATGACATTCAGTGCGCAATGCGTCTCAAAAGCGCGTTTGCTTTGTTTTTTAATTTTGAGAACGAGAACCTGTTGATATGCCATGATGTAAGTCGCGGAAATTAGGGAATAAAAAGTTTGGCTAAAGAAGTCTTGCGGCAAACATTGCGTCCAGACAAGTGTTCAGACTTCTGCGGTCTAATAACGATCTGCTCTTTTTTTGCATGATAATAGTGATGATTATGTAGTACTGATGAGATGTGGAAAAAGAAACAAAAAAAATAATAATTTAGATGATTATTTAAAAACAAAAATCAAACACTCGCATTTTACGCACTGGATTTAAATGCGTAAATTTGCGCGTAACTGCATGTCTGAGCTGCAGAGCGTCTTTTCCACAAGTTGTAAAGACTGTAATAAAGTTTTTTTTATATATTAAAAACTGTATCATTTGTTAAGTAGGTCTAAATATGAGACTCACCCTCTGTTCTTCCAGCGTTAGTGGTTTTGCCTCCGCGCGGACTGAGAGAAGAGTCAGAATAAGTCCACAAGCCACCAAATGCGAGATGATCATCGTGAGGATGCTTCAGTGCAGCTGATGTCAGTGGAGAAGATCAGTTGTTTAAGTGTGTCTCAATCACAAGCCTTCATTTACTCCCAGAGGTGTGTCGAGCTCAACTCTTACTCGATGTCATTTCGGCTCATGGTTTTATAGGCGATATGACATCACTCATGTGACGTCACACCCCCTCCTCCTCCCGTGGTTTACCTTTGCCAGATTGTCCGCTGTGTGTGTGTGCGTCACAGGTTACCGCGCATCGCCTCAGTGACCGGAGGAGAGGCGGACTGGGTGTTTAGTTTAGTTATCGGTTGCTGTGAACACTTAAATACCGGTGAGAAAAGAACAATCACATTTGATTTCATTCATGATAATCACGACTTTTTCATGATAATCATTTTTTAGAACTTTTTTAGAACAGAAATAAAACGATTCACGTCTTTGTGTTTGAATGCCATGCAGTCGTGTTATATTTATTTAATACATTAATGTAACTTTTAATGAAAAATATCTATCTATCTATCTATCTATCTATCTATCTATCTATCTATCTATCTATCTATCTATCTATCTATCTATCTATCTATCTATCTATCTATCTATCTATCTATCTATCTATCTATCTATCTATCTATCTATCTGTCTGGATGTCTGTCTGTCTATCTATCTATCTTTTCTGTCTATCTATCTATCTATCTATCTATCTATCTATCTATCTATCTATCTATCTATCTATCTATCTATCTATCTATCTATCTATCTATCTATCTATCTATCTATCTATCTATCTGTCTGTCTGTCTGTCTGTCTGGATGTCTATCTGGATGTCTATCTAGATGTCTATCTATCTATCTATCTATCTATCTATCTATCTATCTATCTATCTATCTATCTATCTATCTATCTATCTATCTATCTATCTATCTATCTATCTATCTATCTATCTATCTATCTATCTATCTATCTATCTGTCTGGATGTCTGTCTGTCTATCTATCTATCTTTTCTGTCTATCTATCTATCTATCTATCTATCTATCTATCTATCTATCTATCTATCTATCTATCTATCTATCTATCTATCTATCTATCTATCTATCTATCTATCTATCTATCTATCTATCTGTCTGTCTGTCTGTCTGTCTGTCTGGATGTCTATCTGGATGTCTATCTAGATGTCTGTCTATCTATCTATCTATCTATCTATCTATCTATCTATCTATCTATCTATCTATCTATCTATCTATCTATCTATCTATCTATCTATCTATCTATCTATCTATCTATCTATCTATCTATCTATCTATCTATCTATCTATCTATCTATAACACAGTCTCATCCCAAATCGTCATATAACTGACGTTTTGGGACGTATTTTGACCATACGTCAATATCCGCCTTTTTAGGGCCCCCTTAAACGTCGGTAGATGGCGATCCCGGGCCGTCATACAACTGACGCTTTACCTTTAACGTCAGTTAGGTGACGGGTTAGGTTTAGGGTTAAGTTTAGGTATGGGGTAGAGTTAGGAACCCATAACCTCATCTACCGACGTTTAAGGGGGCCCTAAAAAGGCGAATATTGACGTATGGTCAAAAGACGTCCCAAAACGTCAGTTATATGACGATTTGGGATGAGACCGGGTTGCTATCTATCTATCTATCTGTCTGTCTGTCTGTCTGTCTGTCTGTCTGGATGTCTGTCTGTCTGTCTGTCTGTCTATCTATCTATCTATCTATCTGTCTGTCTGTCTGTCTGTCTGTCTGGATGTCTGTCTGTCTGTCTATCTATCTATCTATCTTTTTGTCTATCTATCTATCTATCTATCTATCTATCTATCTATCTATCTATCTATCTATCTATCTATCTATCTATCTATCTATCTATCTATCTATCTATCTATCATTTTTGTCTATCTATCTATCTATCTATCTATCTATCTATCTATCTATCTATCTATCTATCTATCTATCTATCTATCTATCTATCTATCTATCTATCTATCTATCTATCTATCTTTTTGTCTATCTATCTATCTATCTATCTATCTATCTATCTATCTATCTATCTATCTATCTATCTATCTATCATTTTTGTCTATCTATCTATCTATCTATCTATCTATCTATCTATCTATCTATCTATCTATCTATCTATCTATCTATCTATCTATCTATCTATCTATCTATCTATCTATCTTTTTTGCAGGTGTGTATTGTGTGTATTTAAAGATTTAATTAAAATAGACTTAAAATAAACAATTATAATAAATTAAAATGCACTTTTAAAGTACAATACATAAAATGTTTGTTATTTGTAACTTACACTGTAGGTCAGCTGGAGTTAAAATAACATATTTAACTAAATATGAATAATACTGAGTATTAATATGACTGACTGCATATATATGAGGATGAAGGCGTATAGAGGGTCAGTAGCAGCCGGCTCATTCTGGGTTGAGACACAGTGTGGCAGTATATGCTGATCTGAAACTGCTTCACCATCACTTACAAAGACGTGAATGCTCAGTCTAACTCATGCTAAAGCTGTTGTGCTGTGAATGAATGCTCAGCTTTAACATATTCAAATTACACTCACATACACATGGAAGTTGGGCAAAACCATTTCCAGCTAAAAAGCCATCAGATAATGCACATATAATGTAAATACACAAATATGCCCTGTTGACAAGGAAATCCTGGGAAATACGGTGGTGTTTTTTTTACTTGTATTCAAGAAAACTGTCAACATTCGAAGTAATTAATGCATTGATTATCATATGGTGCCTTATGCATTACTGCAATTCATACAGAAACACATTCACTTTCAGATCTTGTATATTTATTTATTTATTTATTTATTTATTTTTTACTGGCAATGCATCTCATTTGTAATCACTTTTTGCAGGTTTAGCATGTTTGCTTTTGGTGCCATGTTTACCTTTTGGAAGGTCGGTATACCAGGGGAGTCAGTGATGGAGCATGTTTTCTACAGGAATATGTGAAAAAAGTTCGGGAAAACACAAGATGCCAGACAACAATGCAAAAAGAGATGGTAGCATTCTGTTTTTAGTCTTAAAGGAACACTCCGACTTTTTCGGACTTTAGCTTATTCACCTTATCCCCCAGAGTTAGATAAGTCCATACATACCCTTTTCATCTCCGTGAGTGCTGTAACTCTGTCTGACGCACCCACCGCTAACCTAGCTTAGCACAAAGACTGGATGTAAATGGATACAGCTAGCATACTAATCCCAATAAGAGACAAAATAACGCAAACATTTTCCTATTTACATGTTGTGATTTGTATAGTCACAGAGTGTACAAATAACAAGGTCATTTGAGACATAGATATCTTTTAACCCTATAAATATTGGGAACTATATTCTCAGAAGGCGAAGCACTGCTACTTGGGCGGAGGGATTACCGCAGCACCTGAGACACCGTGGTGAGGAGCAGAGAGTTCTTTCAGAGTTGGAGTGAGACAGCAATTACTAGATTGTAAAAGCATAGTTTGTATTAAGTATAAAATCATTGGTTACCTGTAAGCCATTCACATAACGTTTGGTTATGACGTGTTATTCGCCAGCTCAGCCGCATCACACTTCCACTATAAACACATGTATGAGCCGAAAACGAAACCATCGATTGAAATACCAGAGTGATACAGGAAAATGTTTGTTATTTTGTCTCTTATTGAGATTGGTATGCTAGCTGTATCCATTTCCATCCAGTCTTTGTGCTAAGCTAGGCTAGCGGTGGGTGCGTCAGATTTTACAGCACTCATGGAGATGAAAAAGGCATGTATGGACTTATCTAACTCTGGGGGATACGGTGAATAAGCTAAAGTCCCAAAAAGTCGGAGTGTTCCTTTAAATCAATAATGTAGGGGAATCTATGGGGTCCACAGATTACATCAACCCTTGTATTATGAGTCCTGACAGCCTAAAATGTGGTGTTCATAAATGTGGGAATAAGTTACTTATCATTAAGGAGACTCTTTTTATCCAAAGTGACGTTTAGACTGAAAGCTGGGATATAGTCTAACTAAAGGGAAAGCGAATGATAGACAGCTCTGCTCTAAAGTCATGATTATCTCATGAAGATTTAGTGATGCAAGCACAGAGGCTTTTATGATTGGTCTGCTGTTGCTAAACAACATATCATAATATTATACACCAAAATTGTCTCATACTATTGTATTATGTGTTAAATCTGTAACTTTTTTTTATCGCTACCAGAACACGATTTTAACTATCCATTTATTCTTCTATGAGCAGTTATTGATATAAAAATAGAAAAGGAACAAAATTAAGGACATGATTTTTTTCCCATCATAAAATAGTTACGACTAAGTCCACTAAAATTTGTGACCTTTCGAAAAAGCCGCTGCCTTATCCGTAAGACAATTTCCCAGATGTAAGAGGCAGGGTAAGCCTTTCTACTGTCTCAAATTTGAAACACAAGAAATTTGGTGGTTGTATTGAACAAAAGCAAATCAAATGGGTCACAGATTTTATGTTAAACCATCACGATGTGGAAAATATCGGCTCACTTCCTCAGTTCTGTAAAAATTAGATCAAGCCTGACCGCTCTCGTATCCCAAGTGATGATAATTATAACTAAAAACAACATTCAATTTCGAATAAAAAGTGTAATTTAAAAATAATTAAAAATGTGATTAATTTTGAAGTCAAAATGATATACATTATTATTAAAGCTGCATTATGTTATTTTTGAAATTGTGCTCTCGGGCTCCCCCTACAGTAGTGAAACAGTATTGTCTTCTACTACTTATGGTTACACTAGGGAATACACGCGTGCATTTGTTGTCAAGCGATACCCCGAACTCTGCAGAAGGAAGGAGTTGTCACATCTTGGGCAGACGTTGTATGTGAAATGTCTTCATCCCAGGTACATTGGCATATATTTCAGCATATCATATGAATATAGTTTCATGGGCTTTATTTTTTCAAACGTCAAAAGACGTTTACAAGCCAGCGTCTTTATAGTAACGTTAGCCTATTGGCAACTTTTTTACATAATGGATATGCTAATTCAATTCAATGTTTGTGTGGTAGATAATAGCCATGTCGTCAATATTATAATATCA